AGTCTTAAGATATAATTAAAAATGAATCTTAACAATGAAAGCTAAAAAAAGGAAAAATAAAATGGTTATGAAGGCCTTAACAAGGTTCGGCAATGAAGGCCTAAAGTAAAACTCAACAATGAAGACGGAGAATTTTGCTTATCAAGAAAAACCTAAAGCTCTAATAAAATAAAATAATATGAAAAATTAAGAGTAAGACTGAATGTATATTGAAAAATTGTTCTTAAAAATTATACAAACACCTTAAGTTTATATACAACAAACTAGTGGGTAAACTAGGAAACTAAATCTTCTTAAAACTGATCCTATAATTGAGGAATTGTCTATCATAATTTTTTATCCTTAATTATAAGGATACAAATATTTAATTAAAGGGATTCTAGGGATACAAATACTTAATTATAGGGATATAAATATAAATATACAGATTACAAGATTACAACCAGCTGTAAATAAGTATTTTTCCACACATAAGAATGCGGCAAAGATGCAGAAGAATGATAGACATAAGGCAGTGACGCAAGGGTGGCAAGGCATCCTTCTTGCTTGTATATAGAGATACACCTAAATACATGCACAATGTAACATGCACAGAGAAAAAGAAGAATGAGAGAGCACAAATTTTACATGAATGTGAACACATACTCATGCATGCACAATTTATTTAAGCAGACGATAAAAGCTTTGAGGATCAAAGCATAATCACAAGGGAAAAAGACTAACAGGAAACAAGTGGGGCCAGTAAACTGGAAAGCAGTAGAAATATTCCAATATGTTTTTCACTTTTGTCATTAAGATGACTTTTTTTTGGCACATTAAGAGGCATTTCCTAAAATGCTAGATTAAACCACAATTTCTCAAGCTAACCAGATTGAATTTGGAAAACAAAATATGTATACTGGATATGTAATCAATTGGCAAAAGAAATTGATCTCAAGAAGCATATGATCTGGGGCAGCAGCGATGACCATTATAAGAACAACTAGAAAAGTAATCACAGTAATATCTACTGAACATACAAATTTTGCGTCTCCATCCACCTATAAAACCACAAAGGAAAATTCTAGTGAAGCAGCCGATATCATGTCCAGGAAGTGTGTTAGACATTACCTTGTATTTCTGCAACCAAATTTTCACATCAGGTGCTCCTTTAGAGGTACCTCCAAAATAAGCATCCAAAAAACCTTTATCCACCTACACAAATTGCATAGAAGCAATAAACCAGCCAAATTCTGTCGAGAAAGGAACGCTATAAATTAAAAACTATAACTCACACTCAAATAACTGAATTATGTAATCTCAATAGTGGTAGAGGCATGACAACTTTTGAAGGGAGCAGAACTAGCGGAAAGGGTGAATTCCTCTCTCAGTAACCCTGAATGTAACAATCTTTCTTCAAATCTAAATTCTAAGGACTACAAGTTGCGAGCTTTTCCAATATTCTAGCTACTTTTCTGCAAGGTTTTTACGGCATGTCTTAGGTTTCTAAAGTCTTACCAAAATATACATTTATGAAGACATGTGCGCACAGAAGCAACAGCAATAGTAGCACAAGAACATAATTAATTTATTCAAAATTTTATAATTTTATAATAAACTTTGCAGTTGTCTGTGGGATTACGCTACACAAAACATTGTAAAATTTAACATTCTTGTGATGCTAAAAGAGTTAGAACTTAAAACTGTGAACCAAGTTTTACATTTTCACTTATAGTTAATGGCAAAAATAAATTTGGGGTTACCACAAAAAACCGGTTTATACACTTAAGAGCAACAATCACATCATAATACGAACAAAACAAGCATCAATTTGAAACAATTCAACCATATCTATGTGACATTGGGGTTTTGAAGTTGGTTGAAGATCCAGAAAAATGGGTGAAACTGTAGAATGTTTCCTACTGATTCCCGTATATCTATTCGATTTATATAGTTTCATGGAATGGGTTTTTAAAAGCAAAATTGATGCAAGCATGTAAAAGTAGAAGTACAAAGATAAACATGTTTAAATTTATGTAGATGAAGAATATAATAAGAGAGATGAAACTCAAAAAGGGTTATGAAGAAGAGTACTCACCCAATGTATTAGTAAATTACCAAATGCTATCATAAAAATGGGGAACAAAGGAGAGTACCTAATATAGTTAGAAACTTACAATATTAGGAAACTGCAGCAGCCTCTAGGGCGAGAGAGGAGAGAAACAAAGAAAGACAGCTGGGCTTTGGACTACAAGACCAGACAGCTTAAAAAGTAGAAAGCAAGTTAGGAGGCCTCCGAGTCTCCAACTCCGAGCAATAGTGTGTAATAGAAAGGGCCTAGTTCAAACAGTTGACTCAAGTTCGGGCCTTGGAGAAAAGTCAAGTACTAGTTCAGAACTCAACTTGTTTTGGGTTTGGATCTTCTCTGTTTGGTTTCCAAGGAGCTCAAAGCCGAAGAGAAGTTCCAATTTTAAAACCCAAGTTAGTAGTTACCCAATCCATTCCATGTCAGGGGAAAAAATGAAGAAAAATATTTCTACATCCTCGCCAAACTAGCAACCGATGGTAGTGGTTAGGTTAAACCCCAACTTAGACTTTGATAAAAAAAAAAGTGGAAGAAATACAAGCGCCAATTACCAAACCAATGGGCTGCAGCGGATACTCGTTCTTAGCATTGGCACTTGTTACAGTGTTTTCCGCTTCTCCAGTAATCTCCTGTATCATTTCTCTTTACCCTTTCTCTTCTTCTTTATATTTGTTACAGTTCCTTTTACCTCTATTTTAAACCTATGTTGATGTTCATCGTCGTTCTTTCAGTTTATTTGTGGAAGAAAAAGTGGGAAGAATCTGATTCAAAGATGAAAAAGCTTCAAAAATCTCTCAATTCTGCTTCGGAAAATGTGCTGCTGAGAGACATGGTCGCAATAGGGCTCAGCAGGTTCTTCCTTTCCACCTTCTCTCATTCTTTTATTGTTTTTTCTTTTATTTTTTATGCTACTGTTATTTTCCTTTTTCTTTTTTCTTTCATTTACTTGTATATATATATATATATATATATATATTTGTAGGCATTGAGGAAAGCAATAGCAGCACAATCCAAGTCTGAGAATTTAGAAATGACATCGTTTCCAATGGCACCTATTGGTATCATTCAATCTTGCTTTTCTACAAGGTGACTTTCAGATGGCATTTTGTTTAGTAATCTCTAAATCAGCCATTTTTGTTTTGTTTTATTTTATTTTATTCTATTATTGCTGCTTGCTGTTGTTTTCATTTGTAATGTTTTCTCGCTTGGCAGAGGCCATGTTAAATAAATATTAATTTTAATGTACAAAATGAAAATTTTCATGACTCATGGCCATAATGATTGACCGGAGTTAAAACAAAACTTGGATTGGGTCAATTAATCTTCTAGTTGGGTGGATATGGTGGATTTATTTTCTTAATAGTCGGAAAATCAATCACCAAATGAATATTTTAAATAGAGAAAGATCAAATACTCTAAGGTGAAAATAAAGAACTAAAAATTTGCTTTCAACCATAGTAGATATTTCTCTATGCTTTCTACAATTTTATTCCACAGTGGTGGGAAAACGCTTCAACTGTAGTCTTGTTCAGCACGTCAAAAGGGATTGTTTAAATAAAATATTTTTCTATTAATAGAAGCTATGCAATGCTCATTTTTGTTTCAATAATATTCAGATTGAAGCTTATAACTAATTTAGTCTGTTGTTAGTCTAGCATAGTGCTTGATTATATGCTAAATGAACAATTCCATGTGTATTTTATGCAGGAATGGGACCCCAGGCAACCTCTACTTGTCCCTCTTGCTAGGGCATGTTTGGTTTTTGATTCAGCTAGAGTTTCTCCGGCATCCCTTGAGGGTCTTGAAGAATACTCTCATTGCTGGATTATATATGTGTTTCATTTAAATACAGATCTGGAGAAGTTATGGAAGCATCCATCTAAATGAAAGTTTAAGGCTAAGGTTTGTGACACTGCACTAATGGTACATGTATTATTTATTTTCTCTCTCACTTATGATTCTTTCTTATCATCTTTAAACTTCTATGGAAGGTTGGCCACTTTAATAGGTCAGAGGTCCAAGATTGAAAGGGAGAAGGCGGGGAGTTTTTGCTACAAGATCTCCACATTGACCATGTCCTATAGGACTCACTGTTGTAAAGGTGTGGAGTCCTGTACAGATGTGTTATTGGCAGGTTCACCTATGATTGTCCTTAAATTGATAGCTGGGGGTTAAAAACTTTATTAAAAAAAACTAGAGATGGAAATTTTGTTCTCAACACTTGAACAAAGATCATTTCTGAGAAATAATCTGGTGGATCTTTTGGCTTTGTTGCACCAGGAGCATAGTTTCGCATATTTAAGGATGAGAACCACAGCAATATGCATGTTTACTTTAGCCCCTAATATTAGTGATGGTTCAGATAATCTCTCGTCCAAGTTGGCAGAATGGGTCTCTCTGTCGAAAGTTGGCTTTGGATGTCATGGAGGATTATGGTAAAGCATTGTTAGTATACATTAAATCAAGGGTTAGCAAGAATGCTCTGTGATTGCAATTTTCTTCCTAAGTGTGTGTGTGTGTGTGTGTGTGAGAGAGAGAGAGAGAGAGAGAGAGAAATTGTGTTCATGTTGTGCCAAACATCATTTTTCACTGTATCTTTTCAGTCATTGTAAACTAACAAGGTTGATGCTAAGTGGTGTATTTTTTCTATTTTGAAGTTCATAAAAGTTGTTGGAACCTTACTTATGTCTTTAGAAAAGGATGTATTCACTTTAAAACTGATATATGATTTATAGTTTAGATGGAGGCAATACAAGGAAATATGCTTCTACACTCTGGAGTGGATCTAGTTGATGGAACAGTAAGATCTTGTTTCATGACTTTACTGGATGTTAATCATTGATGGCTTTATCTGCTTCCTTCCTATTTGATGTGTAAATATACTTTCTGCTTCTTGATGAATTTTGTTAACCGCCAGCATTGGACATCAAATCATATCTATCATACTGTGACAGTATTGAAGGAGCAGTTGTACCAAACTGGATGACAGTATTTCCTCTTCCATGGTTCTTTAGCTTCCCAGTTTTTTCAAGTTTGCTGTCAGGGTGTGTTTATTTGTTTATCCGGAGGAATTGGTTTGTTTCAGGAGAAGTCCCTCTATTCATCACTAGATGAGCTCAAAAGCTTGGTTAAACGAGTGCTTTCTTGGGATATTCGACCAATATCACAACGAAATCGCCCTCATGATAATCTCCTAAAGATAGGAAATGGTTACTCCTTTGATAATGCTTCAGATTCGGATGATTCCCAAGATGGAGAAGCTTCTGGGCATGAATGTGAAGTGGCTGCTTCTGGAAAGATAATATGTCACTTGATTTTGGAGGGAATGGACTTCTCTTACAAAATTGATTGCAGTGGCAATGTGATTGTAGAGAGAGTCCATCTGTCATCTGGCATCCCATTTGGTAATCCAAACTGTAGCAATCACTTGATGTGAAAAGACAAACTAATATCATTTCTCAGATCATCTTTATATATTTGGCTTTGGTGCACAAAACAAAGAATGTGGCAAATCAATAAGCATAAAAAACCACTACAATTGCTATTCTTTTTATATCATTTCTCCTTCAAAAAAAAAAAAAAGATCTTTTTAGTACAGACTGTCTTTCTCCTTTGAATTTAGTATTCCTCTTCATTTACAACAGTTGCCAATTTCAATGGACAAGTTAAATTTTCAAAGGAATTAATGCATTCCAAACTGGGCAATTCCAATCAAGGTAAATCTACTTTTAGCTGGGTGTCTAGTTACGACCTGTTATCATGCAAAAGTCATACCAACCTGAGTTTGGGCTGGGGAGCTCAGTAGGTATGGCATAACCCCTCCACCATCAACTGATTCTGCCATACAAACTCTACTAATGTTATTAAAGGATCTGGTGGAATCACACAGTTTCATTTTTAATATATATAGAGCTATACTTCTTCCAGGTTCTTCCAGAATCAGTCATAACCTGTTGCATGTGATTTATAAAACATGTCAATAGCATTTTTTTTTAACATAAGATTCTAACTGCTCATGTAGTTGAAATCATCATTACAACCTCAGCTCATGCCCCCGAAGAATTCCGACTCTCCACTGAGGATCCACAGAACAAAACACCGTTTCCCAACTAGGGAGGCTGCAGATGAGTGAATGGCACACATCGTGAGGATATATTATCGGAGTTTCATAAATCACAGCAAATTGGAATGTAGGTCATGGTAAATTTTTAACCGCACCTTGTTCTTAGATGGTCCTAGCATTCCAGGTGGAAGCTGTTCTCTTTGTGTCCAATTAATACCTTCATCATATGATCGCTTCATGCACCCGCTCCACCTGCATTTTATTAAAGCCAGTCAAGCAAATGTATCATTGATTCATTGATTGCAACTAAATTCACATCTCACGATGACATGCAGTATAAAAAAATTGATACCTGATGTGAAAACTGTGTAGTCATATTTCAGAAACAAGTAATCTAAACGGTATTCAAAACTGAATCTTAATTGTTCAAACAATGGAGGACTAATCAAAGTCCTGAAACCAATTGATTAGTAGGGGCCTATTGAATAATTTCAAGGCAGTAGAACCAGAAGTGAAGTCAAATGGAAGAACATTTTTATTACAAATTTAAATTATAATATTATATTTGAATATAGGAATTTAAATCCTTATTCCAGGTTAATCTAAATTGCACCTGAAAGTTACTGGTATACCATCCAAAACGGAATTTGTGAATGTAAAAAGTTGTTCTTAAAAAGCCATTTCACCATTCTACAAGGCGTCATTGTCAGAATGTACACAATCAAAAACCAAAACTAGAAAATATAGTGATTTCAATTTCATAGATCACAAATAAATCTTGGAACACCATAAAGCATTGAAATTTTCTTTTGCACGTCCAGGCCTACTTTATATAACAATAGCTGCTCATCTGATCTGATGGGTTCCACACTGGAACATAAAGCTCTTCATCCATAATAATAGGTGGATACCAGTGGCCACCCTGCCAAACAATTTTTTAATTAAAATCAATAAAAGAGCACCATACATAGGCAGATAACATGCACATATCAGAAAACTTTTAAGAGGTCTGGAATAGCAAAAACATGGCCATAGAAAACGATGGCTGGAACGATGAATGTTTGCTTTGTGCATACATAAGAAAGCTTGAAGGACAATTATGCACATACACTCGAAATTAATAAATGCTAAAATATTTACACTGGGAAAGCAATAAGTAGCAGGAGAAAGATACCTTAAGAGCAGCGTGCCGCATGTCAATCAAGATCACCGTTATTGATAATCAAAAGAAAACTGCCATTCTCCTACACAATCATAGAGAAAACTCAGGTAAATAATCGAAATTTATATTGTTGGTGACATGAATGTGACATGAATTAGATAATTAGAATATATTTTTCCAACCAAAATTTCACATCAGGTGCTTCTTCGGATATTTCTCCAAAGTAAGCATCTTAGAAGTGATTATGAGTGAAATCTCCGCTTAAAGGTAAAAAAGGAATTTTATGACCTTAAAATTTTAGGTTCAAATTTTATTATATGTGATTTTGATTCAATTTTATATTGAATTTGTTTAGTTAAGTTCTAATTAATTAATTAATTTAATTATTTGGTGATTTATATTTATTAAGATTGTTGTTTCTCTTGTATTTGTAATTTAAAGAAAAAAATGAACTTTACCGGCTTGCAAATATATTAAATCATTAGCAAAAATTAGTAAGATGATGTTGGCATTGGAACAATATACACTATAAAGTAACAAAAACACAATCAGTTAAATTGCATGACCTCAACAATGGTAGAGGCATGACAACTGTTGTCAAAAACACACACACACACCAAAAAAAAATCATGCCTTTTTAAAAAAGGTACAAAGTTCCACATTTGAATTGCCTTCCTCCTCTTTTTAGACTCTCATATGTTTTTTTCTTTTTTAATTTCCAATTTTTCTATTAATTTAGTTTTGAGAGTTATGATAGAATAGAAAAAAGACTAGATGAGCATTCAGGATATATAACATGAGTAATTTTTTTTTTTTTTAAATTTGATTAATTCAAGATTTTAGCTTCATGAGATTGATTAATTAAGGAACATCGCATTCCCTAAATTCAATTTTTAGGATCAATTTTTTTTAATTAATTAAAATTAAGAAAATTAATAAATTATATAAAAAATGTAAAATCCAACTAATCAATCTGCATATAATTGAATAAATTTAACTTAAAATTAAAGCAAATTCAAATATTGTAAGACTTCAACCTAAAATTTTAAGATTGGAGTATCTTCTCCTTGCTATCAGAACAAAATGTGTTTGTTGCAAAGAACATGTACATGCTCTTTTTTTTTTTTTACCTTTTTTTTTTTTGCCAATCATTGTGATTTGTGAACGAGACAGCATGATTAGTAGTGTGGGGCTCAAAGCAGCCAAGGGAGTTGCTTTTGTATGTGCATTTCTATTTAATGAAAACTACATTTATTTCAATAACATGACACATGTATGATGTGATCATATGAGTACTCATAAAAAGAACATGCAATATTAATTCATAGAAGAACAAAAGATTTTATCATGTCATGAAATCTAATCTAAACCTATAATAGAATAGAGTGGACCCAAATCCAATTCCAGAACTCAAAGTCCAAACTACCCTCATTCCACACCACCCATTTTGTAATAACCCATAGTTGGCTGATTCCCCCAAATAAAAATTTTGGAAGAGGCTTAGGCCAATCTACTTGTGGCTTAGAGCAATTGCTTGGGGGTGACCAAGGCTAGTTTAAAGATATCATCATATTGTGAAACAGAGGACTTTGTCATTGATTGTTTTTAGTAGTAGGTTGAAAACCATTACATTTACACTATATTTGTTTAGAAAGAAAAAATTACATAAGGAAAAAAAAAGTAGGAAAATGGAAGGAAAGAAATAGATTAATCATTTCTATTGTTTAGGATAAGCAAAAAATATTATTAATACAACCATTTTACCTTTTTTAATTAAAAATTAATGTTAGATATCTTTTATCTAAATAGCACCAAAAGATTTTTTATTACTTAAAAATATTTACAATGATATATAAAATTTTTATCTCAAATAATATTTTTTAACAATTTTCAATATATTTTATTCATTGAAATCTAATAATCCATTTGAGTGATATAAACAAGTAAAGAATTAACAAATTGCTTTAACTATTAGTAGTGAAAAAATTAAAAATCGATTCAAAATTGTTGTATTTGGTTTGATTTTTTTTATTTGATTCGATTTAAATTTGGATATTTTATGTTTTAATATGATTCAGTTCGATTTTCGATCAAAAGTAAAAAAGTGAAAAATTCTGAATGGAATCAAAATATTTTTTTTTATTAGTTTTTATTTTTTAAAAATTTTTATAAAATAAAAAATAATTATTTATATTTAAATATATTTAAAATAATATAAAATAGCAAACAACTAAAAATAATTAATTTTAAAAAAAATGGATGAATCGAACTTAATTGAATCAATAAATTTTTATTTAGGTCAATTTGATTTCTTAAAAACATCAATTCAGATTAAGTTTTAAAAATTTATAATGCTATGCATTAATCAAAACAATATAACCAAATCTAATCCAATCAAAATTATATAGCTTCTAATTAAAATAAGATACAAATGATATGGAGTAATACTTTTTTTAAATTTTTTATTTTACAAAAGAATTATTGAAACTTAAATTTTGAATATGAAGATTTCATATTCAACATTGGAAAGAGAATTCTTTAAAAAAAAATTGGAGAGAGAAATACATAAAAAAATTTATTGGTGTAAGAAATTTAAATTTATGAGAAGAAAAAGGAGACAACTACCTCCCATTAATTAAATTTAATAGATTTTTACCTTTAATAAAAAAAAATGGGAGTTTTCTAAAAATAAATAGTTAATTACATATTAGATATTTTTTAAAATTATAAATATAAAGGAAGTTACAATTATAATTGAATATTATATTATATAATCAATTAAATAATTAACTGTTATATTATAATCAAATTATAATTATTGATTAATCAATTAATAAATTAAAATTAATCAAATTTATATATAATAAAACTTGAATCTAGAACTCAAATTCTAAATAATATCTAAATAAATACAGTTGGTGCATTACCTTTTCAAAATTCATCTAAAAAAAAAAAGCTTGAGAGCATGAGGCCTTCATCCCACTTTGTGATACAACTACAACCTTCATAATTCCAAAATTGAAGTTCTCTCTTTTCCCACGAAAAGACGACCACCCACCATTGCCCTATTTTCTTTCCCTCTTCAACCCAATGGCTAATGCTCCATTAGACTTCCATTCACACCCTTGCTTGCCACCAATTGTTTCCTATTACTTATTTATCTATTGTCTTCAACATATCTTTATGCAATTTTCTTTAACCTACTCAATTATTTGATTGATTTAGACTAAA